GACTCTTTTGAATGTCGGGAGCCGCCGCATTCCGGAAAAGGGGTCATCGGAGTGACCCCTTTTGATCCGGAGCCGCCGAGTTTTGCGCTAATTGAAATTGCGCTCTCGCGCGTCCGCTTTTTAGAACGCAGGAAGTTTTAAATTCCATTACGTAATAAAATAGTCGCCGCTAATTTGCATGAAAGAAAAGAATCGTCCGCGGCGTTGGTGACCTAGTTTGACGCGTGTCAGGTTTCTTTTTCTAAGAACTCACGCGTGGGACCAGGTGGCGATCTTTCCCATCTACTTAATTTATTGACAAAAGATTCCTCTTATTGGCGGCTTTCGCGCGTCCGCTTCTTAGAACGCAGGAGGTCTTGAATTCCATCACGTAATAAAATAGTCGCCGCTGATCGACTTCCCGTGTCCAGCGGCTGACTTTGACGTTTTCCATGAAAGAAAAGAATCGTGGAGTCCTCAGGACGTAACATTATATGTATGTATTAAATACATACATATGTACGATGTAAAAATAATACAAAGTAAAAAACATAAATACATATAATACTGAAACTCATTTCTCAACAAAATGCAGTTACATTTTAGGTATACAATTAGCACTGGAGAAATATTAAATAATAATATATGAAATATTCACTGTATGAATATTTCAAAATATAGACATACATCAAATATTATATATATTATGTATATTTTTACATATTTTCTTATTTGTAAAAGGTACATACAATACTGCTCTAAAAGCAGCTAAAACAGTTCTAGAAGGAGAGGTTGCTCGCACAGAAGTAGAAACAGATTATGATCAACCAAGAAAGAGAAAAAAGAATATGAAATACGTATCATCTTCAGAAGATGAAGAAGTGGATAATTCTTCATCAAAAGTTCCTCGTGGTGCAAGTAGTAGTGTACCTGCACCAGATTCTGGACTTCAAAATAAATTAAAAGTACTTCTTAAAACTAAATCTGTAAAAGCATCTGCTATATGTCATCAAAAGAACACTCATATTGGAAAATTATTTTCTCGTAATGAGTCACACGTAACTCATGATACTACATTAGATAAAAATCCAAATGATTCTTTATTAAATAAGAGTATGTCTATTTATGTTTGTGACTTATTTAAATGTTTATAAAATTTTATAAATAGTCCTTTACTTTATAAATAAAATTATTTTTATAATTTTAGTTGAACACCAAAAACATTTATCTCATAAAGATTGGCACACAAATGTTGGAAAAATTTGCAGAGTCATCGCAATTAAAGAAGATCAAGTTTGATAAAAAAATTATCCCGAAATTTGCAACATTTAGATAAAGAAAACCATCCTTATTTGTTTGATAGTAAGTTAATTTCAAGTAATAACGATTTTTTTATATTATGTATAGATAATTTTTTTTTTCTTTTTCTTACGTAAATTATTTTGTGAATTGCTAGTTTCTCAAAAGAGTTTGTCTCCTCAATTGACTGCGAACAATTATGAACAATCTACATTAGACAGTTCTTCGTCAGAGTCGAAGAACACACAGTTTGTAGGTATGTAATGTGATTTCTTAGAGAATAAATGTTTTTCCAAGAGTTAACAAAGTTACTTCTCGTCTTTGACGATTGTAAATTAATTGAACATTTTATGCATTAAATTTTTTCAATATTTACATTTAAATTAGAATTAATTGTATATTGCATATATAATGTATCTCTCTTTGTCTCTCTGTCTCTCTCAATGCATGATTCCTTTCTTCAAATATAATTAAAATTGACTTCTTAAATGTGTAATAATTTATGCATTTTTCTTTGTTGTCCAGTTATCTTATTTATATTAAAAATAGAAATAACAATTTTAATTTTGATTCAGATGACAAAGACAACAATGAATGCAACAAGAATTGTTCTAATACAATATACTCCGAAACTTCAAGAAATAAAAGTAAAGCTGATCTTTTGGAAAAACCCTGGCGGAAAAATTTCTACAAATTTAAAAAAAAAATTAAAATATTCTATGAAAAACTACAGAAAATAACTGAGAAAATCTATGAAATTTTACACAATTTTAAAAAATACTACAAAAATCTACATAAAAATGCTAAGATCGGAAGAGCACACGTCTGAACT